TCGTACGTGGAAGTTGCCGTTAATAACAAGAAAGAAAGAAACTATTTTTTTCATCTTCTAGACGGGACTTACAGTAAAGATAGAGACCAGAAATGATGGGAATATTGATTCACAACTTCAAAAGAATCCTTCTTTTTTTTGCAACCTAAAATCATGGAAAGAATCACATTATAATATTTACTTTTATTTGGTTTCCATACAAAATTAAATCAATATCCTTTATTATTATTATTTTTTTAATCTGGACATTAAATTGAAATATTATCTTGACCATTGATTAGGAAAAATTGGTTGGCTTGGATTAGTTCTTATGTTCCTACCTAAAGAGGGGTTCTCACTTGAAGCCAACCCTATATATATATATATATATATATATATATATATATATATATATATATATATATATATATATATATATATAGGCGGGTTCAGGTGCGGCAGTGTCTTACGGTGCGGTTATTTCTTACGGTGCGGCAACACCAATAGTTCACCAAATATGCACCATCAACGTTAGGAAATACACCACACAAAACAGAGTAAACAGAGCCCTGCATCACCAAACACACACCATTAGGTGTGAGTAAAAACACCATACACTGTTCGGAAATACACCATTGGGGGTGGTGAGTTATATGGTGTATTTTTTGAGTCTGTGGTGTATTTTGTGATGTTTTATTACATTTCATTGGGGTGTGTTTTTATTACACTGTTGGTGCATATTGTTAACATTGTTGGTGTATTCTGGAATTTGACCGCACCGTCGCACCGTAAGACCCCGCCGCATATGAGAGCTCTTCTATATATATATATATATATATATATATATATATATATATATATATATATATATATATAACATTCAGTATATAATAATCATATTCATTATTATTATTATTATTATTATTATTATTATTATTATTATTATTATTATTATTATTATTATTATTATGTATAAGGGTATTTATGTCTTTAAAACCTATTCCATTTCTATTCCTTTAACCAACCAAACACTGGAATACAATTACTAAAGTCTATTCCTTCAGCCAACCAAACAACATAATACAATTCATATTCTATTCCTTACCTATTCCATTCCATGTGGAATAGCATTCCTATTCCCTCCAAATTCATTCCGTGAACCAAACGTGCTGTAAATGAATTATCTAATTGTATTTACCTTAATACATTACTTGCCAAACTAATTTACTTAATTAAATACTATATTAAACCAAATATATTATTTTACATATTTACCTAGACAAACATATCTTTATTTGAAATACATGCATATAGATTTAAAATATAAATGTAATAAAAATAGTAATTAAATCTTCTCAATCTACAATTTCTGTTGGACCGAGATGTGGGTCCAACTTTGTGGACAAAGAATGGTTGAGGATTTTATTAAAAGAATGAAAAACCAAAATTATGGTTTTGTTAATTAAGTTTGTAAAGATTCCGATCCAGCATTCTGATCTCTATTTGGCTGTAATAGATTGAATTGAAGTTTTTTTTTTGAAAAGAGCCTGTGCGGCATTTATTCGAAATATGCTGAAATAGAGTCTGGCGGGTCTAAGTCCGCGTACATACTAGATAGGTGATTAGTTGCAGAAGAAGCTAATGTATGCGCTAAATAATTGTCTAGTCTAGGAACATAATGAATTAAGCAGTAATCAAAAGATGCCATACTAGTTTTGCAACTATCAATGGCATAGCCTAAATAAGAGCGCAATGAGTGTGTTGTAGACGAAAGATATTGTTGGAGCACCAAACAATCTGTGTAGAGGTCTATATCTGTTTCTTCTCGGTGTCTGAGCCATGACAAAGCTTCTTTGCATGCGAAAGCCTCCGCCATTAAGGGCGAAAAACAGTGTATGATAGGGGTGGTCATCGCCGACACATAGCATCCTCGTGAATCCAATATAATAGCCCCCATTGCTGCCTTGTTTGTTGTTGGATCGTACGTCGCATCGAAATAACATTGATTCCTCCCGTTCTGCGTAGTATTGTGTTGGACGGTTGCTGAAAATTCCCGTGATAATGGCAGTGTTTCGGCCTCCCCTTCTCCCATAATTGCTGCGCCTTCCCTCGGGCAGTAGACTGCCGCAACTGGCGGTAAAATAGCAGCCGGCATCGTGGTGATGGCTTGCGGACTTCTTCGAGCGGGATGTGCCTCTTTCCATGCATTGACGGATGACAATGCCATTGCTATCACGTTTTGCGGCCTGGGCAACTTTGCTTCCCATACAGCTCCATTTCTCGTTCGCCATATGAAATACAAGAGAGCCACTGCATAAATAATCCCATCATCATCTAAAATATTCAACAAATCATTAAACCAATCACTGAAAATATTTGTGGCCCTATTGGGGATTGGAAGGTTGGATCGTGCCCAAATGTTCATCGTATAACCACAAGTGATCAAAGAATGCACAAGATTCTCATGCCCAACTCCACACATTGCACAAGTTGGATCAATATCAACTCTCTTTATAAGTAAATTCTCCGTAGTAGGCAAAATATCATTTAGAGCTCTCCACAAGAATGTTTTCCATTTTGGGGGGGCTTTGAGGCTCCATAATTTTTTCCACTTATGAAAGTTACCCTCCGGTTGAGAGTAGTTCCCTCTTACCACCTTGTATCCTTCTTTAACTGAATATTCCCCTTTTGGGTCGCCATACCAGTACCACATATCCTCATACTCAAGAGACACAGGTATTTTTAATATTTTCTCCACATCTTGGGCTATGAAAATATCCGCTAAAATTTCATGGTCCCAGGTTCCAGTCTGCTGGTCTATCAGTCCCTCCACTTTTGCCTGAGCCAACTGAGGCGGGTTTTCTATTAAAATTCTTGGCTGGTTGTCATCATGTATCCACGGGTGGTCCCAAATCAAAGTTGATTTGCCATTCCCAATTCTGCGTCTTACTCCCCCACAAATTAACCCCTTAGCCGCCAAAATACTCCGCCAGCAGAAACTTGGATTATTTCCCAAGGCTGCTTCATAGAAGGAACTAGTAGGGTAATATCTAGCTTTATACACTCTTGAGACCAGTGATTGTGGTTGTGTCAGGAAGCGTCATGCCTGCTTACCTAACATTGCAAGGTTAAAGGCTCTCAATTCCTTAAACCCAAGTCCTCTAAATGTCTTTGGGATGCACATTTTATCCCAGGCCTTCCAATGGATGCCTTGTTCATTTCCTGACCTCCATCAGAACCGATTCATAGCTCTCTCAATGGCTGTACATAAATTCATAGGCAACAGAAATACGCTCATTGCAAAAGTGGGCATAGCTTGAGCCACACTTTTTTGTAGAACTTCCTTCCCCGCCTGTGATAAAAGCTTTTTGTTCCACGAGCCAATTCTCTGCTTTATCTTATCCTCAATATATGAGAAAGCCTGTCTTCTATTCCTGCCCACAAAAGATGGAAGTCCCAAATATTTTCCAAAATTCTGGGCCTGTACAACTCCCAATATATCAGCAATCTCTTCCCAAGCCTGTCTTCCGCCTGTGATTGAATTGAAGTTATTTAAGTGATTTATATGTATAATAATAAGGATCGGAGTAATACTGAATTTCAAAGAGGATACTACTATACGGCCATATGGATTCCGGTTTAGGGCTATAAGTTGAGGGACGTTATACTACAATACTAACTATAACGTGTTCAAAATTAAGTTTTTGTCTAACATAATTAGTTGGATTAATTGATCAATGATCTAATAAATCAAATTAATTCTTGATCCAATCTAGCAAATGCCCATCCAAATCATTCATTTTTCTTTTTTAATAAAGTCACTAATTGTATATTTTTATTATCGGTAAAATAGAACTAATATTATACAATGTCGGGTGCAATTATACAAAACATATGAAGATTTGTATTTGTATGCATGAATTATAAAATATGTAGTAAATAAACTTAATTATAATCACTATTATTATTACAAACAAACTTCAATTATCTATTTACTCATAACCATCTACCAATTCATATACATCTATCATCACCTACATACTCTATCACCACCTATATCTACAAATTAGCATCACCACATTATTCATATGATCTACATATTCACCACTATGACTACATATAATATTTTATATTTTTACTCTACCATGTTATTAGAAATGATAATAGGTAGGTACTTTTCTGTTTGACCATTTTTAAAATTGAATCAGAATACATTTAGAACTACTCAAACATAAATAAATATTACTCATACATATATTCCAAACCTGTTGACACTACCCATATAATACTCAAAATAACCCTTAAACCTATTTAAATCACATGCATACTCGTACACACACAATAATCAAGTATTGGGCACTATTATACTTTTGTGAATATTTTATATTGCATCATTGCATGGCCGGCTTAAAATTGTGCAATATATAAATATATGTTAATTGCTCAAATGAAACACCTACACTAAGTTATAACTTCACATCTTGATATTAAAACTTGAGCATGCAATCTTATAAAAACTTGTGAATGAACTATAATTTTGATGGAACAACACACCTTCATCTTCATCTAAGTGAAAAATAAAAATCATGGAAATGAAAAAGAAAGTGTAAAATAAACACACAATTAGTGCTTGATCATCGTATGGAAATGAAATGACCGTTACACTGTTGAATAAATATTTTGTTAATTAAGTATTAAATACTAAATGAATTTAATTACCTAATTATATGTACTTTAATACATTAATTACTCACCAAACTAATTTACTTAATTAAATACTATATTAAACCAACTATATTTTACTTATTTACCTAGACAAAGATATCTTTATTATAAATACATGCATATATATTTAAAATATAAATGTAATAAACCTAGTAATTAAATTTTTTTAATCTACAAATCGTGTTGGATCGAGATGTGGGCCTGATTTTGAGGATTTTATTAAAAGAATGAAAAAACCAAAATTGTGGTTTTGTTTGTAAAGATTCTGATCTCTATTTGGCTGTAGAAGATTGAAGTTATTTAAGTGATTTATTTGTATAAATAGTGAACTTTTAATTACAAATTGTCACCGCGTTACTTTATGTGTTTGATGTTTGAACTTCAGATGCAGATTGTCCTAAATTCTCAGAACGCTTTCTCAAGGTTCACAGACAAAAAAAAAAAAAAAAAAGGTATTATTAATTTCCCGGACAACTGCTTTGGAATCATTCTCCACCAAGAGTCTCATGTATCCCTTCTCCTAATTATCAACAGTGAAACTACTAATAACAAAGTTCATTTCTAACAAGGCTCCTTAGCTTGTTGTAGCTTCACCCAGCTACCGGAGAGTACTACCATTAACATTGAGCTTAACAAAGTTCGGAGATGGAGATTTCCACCCAACAAGAAGTTCATACTGTAAATGAAATGTCCATTACACTGTTAAATAAATATTTTGTCTAAATGAATTTACCAAATTGTATTTACCTAAAAAAATACATTAATTACTCACCAAACTAATTTACTTAATTAAATTTAAATACTATACTTAAACCAAATATATTTTTACACAAAGATATCTTTATTAGAAATACATGCATATAGATATAGATTTAAAATAGAAAACCCAGTTGCGGATTGCTTCTCTGGTGAGAAGGCAACATGAGAATGCTATTTCACCGGAAAAGGCAACCCAGTTGCCTTCTCCATTGAGAAGGCGACAGATCGCCTTCTTCGGTGAGAAGGCATCCCCTTGCCTTCTCACCGTTTTTATATAATTATTTAATTTAAATTTATTAAAATAAAATTAAAAAATTAAAATTTGATAACGGCCACGTCAGCATGTTAACAGGTCAACAAGTCATTTTAGGTTGAATTTTATTATTTTGCATTGTTCCAGAATTTAATTGTAGTGTTTCTGAGTTCGATGGTTCAATTATAGTTTGATGTGTAGTTCAATGGTATATTTGACCCTGATTCCTTTAAAATATGAATGTAATAAAAATAGTAATTAAATCATTTTAATCTACAATTTCTGTTGAACTGAGATGTGGGTCCGCCTTTGTGAACAATGAATGATTGAGGATTTTATTAAAAGAATGAGAAACCAAAATTATGGTTTTGTTTGTAAAGATTCCGATCCATAGCATTCTGATCTCTATATGGCTGTAGAAGATTGAAATTATATTCAAGTGATTTATTTGTATAGTAAGGAGTAGTGCTGAATTTCAAAGAGGATACTATTATACGGCAATCGTTATATTGTGGAACCTAATCCTATTCGATGTTGTACGTTTTGAATTTTAACTTTGAAAGTGATCATTTGTTGTTCAGTTCAAGTTAAGTGTTTTTTTAATTGTAATAAAACATGTGTATATGTCTTGTGTTATGTATTTCTGTGTCTCAATTATGTACCTTATGAATTCTGTACCTGAATGGTCACTATATCCCTACCGCCATCTTTTGATCCAGGTTTTATATAAATGGTCACTATACATACGGCCAATATATCCCTACCGCCATATGGATTTCGTTTTAGGGCTATAAGTATTGGGAGGTTGTCTGGTCTGCTTCTCACTCAGCTCAGAAACATCATATCCATCTCCCTCTAATTTCAGTTGTTTATGCAGCTAGCTAGCGCTTTGAATTTCTTTCTTTCCATTAACCAGAAGAGTGCAGTGGAGAATTGAACCAACCTGTGTGTCTTTATGGCCCAGCCGGATAATCGTCAAGGATTAATCCCCTTTACGCTCTTATCATCGTCATCTTCATCTTCATCGTCAACACTTTCAAGGCCCTCCGCTGTTCTTGATCTCTTTCCGGTTTCTGCAAGAATGGAAGAAGGCGATGATGGGCACTGGATAACGAAGCGGCTAAGTTTAAGCGACGTGAACACTTCATCAAGGCTGTTGTTGTCTAAAAGAGATATGCAGGAAAGTGTTTTGCCATTGATGGATGATGAGAGGTATGCAGCTTGTCAGAGCAAGGAAGGTTTGAGAGTCAAAATGTGGGATTTGGACGCTGATTCTGAACATGAGCTTAGCCTGAAGAAATGGAAGAGTGGCAGCTTTGTGCTCACCAGCAACTGGTCTATGGAGTTTGTGAGGCGAAGGAATTTGCAGGAGGGTGACTGGATTCGGCTGCGCTGGGACACTGAAAATCTACGCTTCATATTCCAAAAATTAAATGTCCAATCTTAATTATTACTTTCTCTGGTAGGGATTCTGTGTGCTTCAATTCAGGCCGGGATTATTATATTATTATTCTCATCTTCTGCTTTCACTTTCTGCTCAGTGTTGTATGTATGACTTATTACTAAATATTATTGAATTTTTCCTAAAATAAAAAAAACATTTGATTTGTTTAATTTGCATGTGATGCATGCATGGTTATATATGTTGGTTTTAGGACTTTTGGATAGCCCACGGAGGTCCAACACAACCGTTGGTTGGTAGATTCACCGGTAAAATAAAATACTAAAATAGATAACTAAGTATGAAAATAAGTAGCCGAGAATTTCACTATATTTGCTTATAATTTCTAGATCTTTCCCGTGGCTTTTTCAACTCAAAGCCTAGTCCCTACATTCTCAAAAGGGACCTATTTATAGGTGGCTACCCTTTGCTAATTTGAATACAAGTTTAAATGTGTAATAATGAGGGATATCAAAGCTAAAGGCCGTTGGGTCGTCGCTACTGGGTTCTCCAACGGCTGGATTGACCCACATTAACGGCGGGCTTTAAATGGCAACGGTCATCTACTAGGCCGACTCTTGGGATTCGGCTCCCCACTCGTCCGAGCTCCCTACAAGCTAGGTCTGCCCAGGACCTACATCGTAGATTTCTTTATCTTTTTTGGGCTATTGTGGCAAGCCCATTTTCCTGGTCCGCTCTTCTTTGTTGGGCCTCAAACTCATTGGGTCCATATCCCATCAATATATACTAAGTAAATTGCCCTTAGGATGCACAGATAATTTTTTATTATTATACGTTTAGATTAGGAAATTTCAATTTTGGTCATATGACTATAGGGGTCTTGTTAATTTTAGTACTTCACTTTTAAAAGTGTCAATTTAGTACTTTAACTATGCAATTTTTGTCAATTTTGGTCACTCCGGCCAAATTGCCGGTCAAATTTCGCCAGAAAATTTTAATTGTTAAAATAATGAGGGTATTTTGATCATTTCACGTCTCTTTTCTTCTTCCCAGGCGAGTCCATCCCTTCCACTCCCGTTTCCGGAGAATGCAATGAACTAAGATGATGGGGAAAGGAAGCTTGCTGATATTAAAGATAGGGAGGGAGAAAGAACGCCGGAAACGGGAGAGAAAGAGATGGACTCGCTGGAGAAGAAGAAAAGAGGCGTGAAACGATCAAAATATCCTCATTATTTTAACTATTAAAAATTTTCTGGCGAAATTTGGCCGGAGTGACTAAAATTGACAAAAAGAGGAAATTACACTTTTGGTCCTGTGACTATACATAGTTAAGGTATTAAATTGACACTTTGAAAAGTCAAGAATTGAAATTAACAAGACCCTATAGTCATATGACCAAAATTGAAATTAAAGATGAAATTATAAACAATACTAATATTTGAAACTTTAAGTTTATTTGATTGTAAGATTAATTCTAATTATACTAATATATGTGTAAATACGGAGTATTAGCTTAATTATCATAATAATTATTAGTCAATTAGAGTTATATGTGTGCAATTAATTTCTTAATTACTATAATAAGTAATTGGTAATTATACTAATAATGTGCAATTATACTTTTATACCTTTAGAAATACATGCATACAGATTTAAAATGTAAATGTAATAAAAATAGTAATTAAAACTTCTCAATCTACAATTTCTTATCTGTTAGGCCGGGATGTGGGTCCGAAGGAATTTGCATAAGGGTGATGGCAAATTATGTTATGTGCACGTGCCCACCTTGCAAAGTTGGTACGGTTCTATATCTATAATTTATATACTGTAGATTCATAATTTCTATGCTATAGATCCATAATTTCTATACTGTAGATTCATAAAATTTATACTTTTTAGATTCCAATTGTTGAACTCTGTTTTCACAAATCAGAGAACTATATGTTCATAATTTGATAACTATACAGTTTATAAATTATGAATCTACTGTATTTAAATTATGAATCTAAAATATACATTTTATGAACTTACAGTATAGAAATTATAAATCTATAATATAAAAATTATAAATATAGATGGTGCCCACCTTGTGCTCACATGCCACAGCATTACGTTCCAAGGGTGATTGCATTCGGCTGCGCTGGGAGCCTGGGACACTGAAATCCGACGCTTCTTATTCAAATAATTCAATGTCCAATCTTAATTGACTTTGTCCTAAAATAAATAAATAAATAAATAAACATTTCATTTGTTTTGCATGTGATGCATGCATGGTTATATGTATACGTTGTTTCAGTTGGTTGCAGTTACAGTTACTAACCAAAACATGCATTATATTCCGTTATCTTTGAAATTTTAATTTTGGAAACTATTAGATACACCTATTTAATTGTCTTTATCAACTTTTAACAATTAAGCAATTAGTCCGTAATGGAGATGGGGCCATTAAAAAAATCTATTGATGAGATCAATTGGTGAATTAAAAACGTGCATGTACATATAAAAATATGTGCATATTAAACATGTTCCTATTGATGCACATATCAAAATGTTTCATATGCACATGTGAGTTTTTAATTCTCCCAATTAATCTTGTCAATAGATATATTTTTTTAATGCACCATATTGGTTCTTATGGACTCATGGGGAGGTTGGTTGTCATAAGAAAACACACACACACTAGAGATCAAATGCGAAGGAGTTCTCAATAAAAAAAAAATGGGATGAATCTCAACCATTGATCTAGCTAAAATAAACAGTTCAGAATGAAGAAATTTAAAAAAAAAAAAAAAAAAAAAAAAAAAAAAAAAAAAAACGGTGACATTGTTATAATTTTGCATAAATTTATAGTTTGAGGTGCATCACTTTCTAGTTTAAAGTACATCAGTTTAACTCTTAATGTGCACAACTTGCAAACTATAGCTAACCGACTATACCAAAAGGCCAATAAAGAAATTACTTTTTAGTCTTTAAATTTGACGGTTTAATTTAGTGATAAAACATTTAAGTGAGGATCAACTTAAATAAGAATTTTACTACATAGTTAGAGAGATTATTCTGAGAATTAAATGATTAATAATAATATATTAATAACCGGTAAGAAAATCGGAAGTGTATAACATCATGCCTTGGTTCAGGATGTTTTTTTCTAAAAATAAAAAAAAAGTAAAGAAAATATAATTTTGTTAAGTCTACCTCTAATTGATATAAGAAGTTTGGCGTTCAGTAAAAGAAATTTTTTTGAAAGGAAAAACATAACTTTTATTAAATCAAACTTTTAATACAACTCGAAATAGAAGTAATCCAAACAGAAGGACCAATAAAAAAAATTTAAATGATTTATTTGTATAATAATAAATTTTAGATTATTTCAAAAGGCCTTAAACAACCGTTGACAGCTGCTAATACGCTGCGCAACCCTAATCCCACCGGACTTATAATTACGTTTTACGGCTCTATAAGTTGGCGTTTAATTTCCTCTTTCTCATCACTCACAAACATCTTCTAATCTGCACTTTGATTTGTTATTAACGAACAGAGCGTAATGGAGAACCAGTCTTCTTCAACAACCATTATGGCGGAGGATCACTCTGTTTCCACCCTTCTCAGTTTATCACTACACCCAACTCCGGGAATTTCTCGTCCCCGTGAAGAAAAACCGGTTGCTGATCTCTGTCCATCTGTTTGGTCTTTCAACCCCATAAAAGACGATCAAGAACTGCCGATTTCTGACATACCCAATCTCCAATCGCCATCAACACTTTCAAACCCATCCTTTTCCGCCCCAATATCTGAAGATTTCTACACGAAACGAAAAAGACAGGAAGTTGATGAACCCAAACCCAATAAGACAGAAGAATATTGTTCACATTCAACAATAACATTATCAGACGAGGGAGTGGCCAAGAAACAGAGGGTGGAAAACCCTCCAACAGAACTACGGCGGCCGGAAGGCGATGATGGGCACTGGATAAAGAAGCGGCTAAGTATAAGTGACGTCAACAATTCATCAAGGCTGTTGTTGGCTAAAGACGATGTGAAGAAATACGTTCTGCCATTGATGGATGAGGAGAGGTGCGCAGCTTGTCAAAGCAGGGAAGGATTGAGAGTCAAAATCTGGGATTTGGACACTTTTTCTGAGCATGAGCTTAGCCTGAAGCAATGGAAGACTGGCAGCTTTTTGCTCACCAGCAACTGGTGTATGGAGTTTGTGAAGAGAAGGAATTTGCAGGAGGGTGACTGCATTGGGTTGCTGTGGGACACTCAACATCTAGGTTTCTTCTTCCGCAAGTTCAATACCCAGTCTTATATGTTATTGTGCAGTGATTAACTAATTGAAATTTTGGTAGGATTGTCTGTGCTTTAGGGCTTGTTGTACTAATAGTACTTTAGGATTCACTCTGATGTACAATGTACTATTCCACTGTCGCTCCAAGAGGTACTTTCTAAGAGTCATAATTATGCGGCTTAACACAAGTTATTTGGCATAATATTGATTTTATCATTTACAAATGAATATAATGTTTGTATATTGATTTTTTCATTTACAAACATTATATTTATTTTGCATGAGATGGTTATATTAGGGTTGGAAATAGGCAAAGATAGTATGTTTATGAGTTTAATTGTAAATTTTAAAAGTTTAAAAGTCTAATTGACTTTTTAATAAAAAGTTCATAGGTTTATTTGACTCTTTTCTGTTTATAATTTAATAAGCATATTTTTCATCCAAATTTCAAAGATTCAAAATACATATATCTATTTATTTATAAGTACAAGTGCAAAGTGGAATTACCTCTCCATGCCACTGCCCTTATACCTGCGTGGGTATAAAAATTTCTCCCATACCCACATCAATTACCCATATCATGCAAATATTTTACCACCCCTTGTGACGGGGATATTGATAACCTGTTACTCTGTTAGACATCGATAGAATTGTCATCCTTACTTTTGAACAAATTAAATTAATTCTTACCATAAAGAAACAAATCAAATTAAGTAAATATTATTATATTTTAATTATTACCACAAAGAAGAAAAGAGAGTTGTGCTGGATATCTTGTGACCTGTGACTATATTCGAATTTGACTGAGTTCTGCAGAAGAATTCATTTGCAATCATGGACTTTTATGATTTTCAAACCTTGATACATTCTGATCCGTAAAGAACCTATCTTTGATAAATATCTATAAGTGGAAACAAAAAAAAATATATAAAAAAATCAAAGAATAAAGATTTCACCCCACCAAGCAATAGCCTCTGCATCTCTGATATCTACCTAGCTACCTATCAACCTTGTAAACCAGTCTTTCTTTGCCTCCAATTTGGTCGATCTGTTTTGCCATGTTTCCATCTTTTTTAGTAAAACATCCTTAGGCAAAATCCCATTGACAACCTCCATCTTGTGTTCTTTTTCCTGTCTGGATATCACAGTGCCATGAAGAAAGAACAATTCTTTCATGGCAGTGTAAGTGTAAGTGTGTGTCTTACAACCTATGACTAAACCAAGACAAAACCCTATCGTTGTGCAGCAACCGCTAAGCTTGGCTTGATCTCAGACCGCTGCTTGCTAGCTTGACTCAGACGGTTGCACAACATAACGATTGGGAGATTTCCACCAAACAAGAAGTTCATACATACTGTAAATGAAATTACCATTATTATTGTATTTAATTACCTTAATACATTACTTACCAAACTAGTTTACTTAATTAAATACTATATTAGACCAAATATATTTTACGTATTTACATAGACAACTTAAAGATATCTTTATTAGATATACATGCATATAGATTTAAAAATGAATGTAATAAAAAAAATAGTAATAAAATCTTAATCTACAAATTCTGTTGGGTCAGGATGTGGGTCCGACTTTGTGGACAAAGAATGAAAAATCTGCAAAATTATGGTTTTGTTTGTAAAGATTCCGATCCATAGCATTCTAATCTCTATTTGGCTGTAGAAGATTGAAGTTATTTATTTGTATAATAAGGAATTTCAAAAGAGGATACTATCATATCCCTACCGCCATATGGATTCCGTTTTAGCAGCTATAAGTGGAGTGAGGTTGTCCGGTCAAACATCCATCTCCCTCTACTTTCACTTGTTTATGCAACTAACCTGTCTGTCTTAATGGCCCAGCCGGTTCTGCTCGATCTCAGGGCCGGATTTTAAATTTTTGTGGCCCTGTTCTGGTAAATAACTGAGGCCCTCTAAAATCATGATTTTTAAAACTAACATATACGAGTTTCGAACCTTTGACCTCTAAGTTAAAAGACAATAAATACATATTTCAACCATCTCTTCATAGAACCTTTTAAAATTAATTGTAAACTTTTATTTTTTATTTCTAAACTAGCTAGGTAAATATTAAATATTGGGCCTCTAAAATTTGGGGCCCCTCTAAAATTGGGGGCCCTGTGCGGTAGCCCAGCTTGCACAGCCTAAAATCCGGCCCTGCTCGATCTCTTTCCGATTCCTGCAAGAATGGAAGAAGGCGATGATGGGCACTGGATAACGAAGCGGCTAAGTTCAAGCGACGTGGACTCTTCATCAAGGCTGTTGTTGGCTAAAGAGGATGTGAAGAACTACGTTCTGCCATTCATGGATGAGGAGAGGCGTGCAGCTTGTGAGAGTAGGGAAGGGTTGAGAGTGAACGTGTGGGATTTGGACACTCGCTCTGAACATGAGCTTAGCCTGAAACAATGGAGGTCTGGCAGCTTTGTGCTCACCAGCTACTGGTCTAGGGAGTTTGTGAGGCGGAGGAATTTGCAGACGGGTGATTTCATTCGGCTGCGCTGGGACACTGAAAATCGACGCTTCTTATTCCGAAAATCCAATGTCCAACCTTAATTACTTTCTCTGCAGATCTGATTACCAGCTGCTTTCACTTTCTGCTTAGTGTTGTATGACTTATTACTAAATATTATTGACTTTGTTCTAAAATAAATAAACATTTCATTTGATTATTTTTGCATGTGATGCATGCATGCATGGTTATATATATACGTTGTTTCAGTTGGTTGCAGTTCGTTACAGTTACTAACCAAAACATGCATGCATTATATTCCGACATTAAATGCATCCTGCGAGCACATATAGTACAGTGTGCACCAACTCATTCCTCTCTCTCCCCTTCTTTTCTTGTTATGTAGCACACAAAAAAAACTCATCTTCCTATGACATACCCTCTCTACTCTCTCTTTCTTCTAACTTACCCATAGAGCCTGGAAAAATCCAATTTCAATTCTGTTATTGTTGGATATGCTCTAAAGCTGATGGTAGAAAGTAATCTACTGTAAATCATGTTGAAGTGATCTAAATAAAATTAGGACTTTCAAATTGATGGTCAAGTTAGTTTTGTTCTTGATTTGAAATCATGATACTCATTTAGTTTAAGGTGCGTCACTTTTTATTTTAAGGTGCTGCACCGACTTACAAACTCTAGTTGTATAAATTTCAAGTTTAAGGAGCTTTAGTTTCCAGCTTAAGGTACATAAGTTTGAAGCTTAAGGTTTATGAATTCGAAACTTAAAGTGCATCAATTCAGTACTTAAGGTGCATGCATCACTTCGAACCTTAAGTGCATCAGCTCAGTATTTAAGATGCATAATTTTGACACATAAATGTGCATCAGTTCGAGACTTAAAGGTTCATAAGTTCAAAGACTTAAGGTGCATTGTTTCGAGACTTAAGGTGCATCAGTTTAAAGATTAATGTGCATAAATTCGACACTTAAGGTCATCAATACAAGACACTTAAGATCATTTGCATCCTATGTGCTGTTAAAAAAAAAAAAAAAAAAAAAAAAAATCCTTCAATTTAAGTCGTTGATCTAATCTAGATAAATGGCTTAGATCTCACCCCATTTTTTATCTGGGAGACCCTTCACACGTGAATCAGCCCCTATATATATATATATATATATATATATATATATATATATATATATATATATATATATACACACACACACACACACACACACACTGATGTTGTTTTTGGTAGTGATCAAATTAGTAAAACATATTAGATATCGAGGATTTTGAGAGGTCATATTCACATCCAATTCACCGCAAATTATGCTGTGGAAACGTGTTCACCATGCTTTGTGAACACAGTCCCAAACGGCATCGTTTTACGAGAAAAAAATAAATTTAGTTAATGTGCTGTTAACGGTGTTTTGCATTCTATGTTCAGATTATGAATTTACATTTATTAAATTATGAATTTTCTGTTATGAGATTATGAATTTACAGTTATGTAATTATGAATTTTCCGTACATTCATAATCTCATAACAGAAAATTCATAATCTCATAACAGGAAATTCAAAATTTCATAACAGAAAATTCATATGCTCATAAAAAAACATTTATTAAATTATGAATTTTCTGTTATGAGATTATGAATTTACAATTACGTAATTATGGATTTTCTGTACATTCATAATCTCATAACAGAAAATTCATAATCTCATAAAAGAAAATTCATAATTTCATAACTGCACGTTCATCGATCCATGCCTGCACATTCATAATTTATGAGTATTGAAGAAACTTGCTCGAAGATGAAGTGAAACCGCAAAATGTGAATATAAAGAAGAAAAGTCGCGCTATTAATTAAAATAAAATATTAAAAAAAAATTAAAAAAAAAAAAAAGATTGGTGGAAGATAACGGTGCCCGTAGGTACCGTTACCGTTTGGGACCGTGTTCACCATGAATGGTGAACACGGTTCCATGGCATAACGATTGCCAATTCACTAGTGATGGATTTCCACTTCCATTATTTGGCCTATCAATACGTGTTTAGCCGTTGGTCCTCATCTCCTTTACTCCTTATGTCCTTAAGTTGGCTAAGTGGGGTGGGTGACTTCTTTCCAAGCAAAGTGGTTTCCTTCCGTGCCCTTGGGAAGCACCATTGGACCCGAGAAGGAAAGTACGAGTGTTAGGTCACCCTTGGTGCCTTAGTTTAATTTAGAGCCTTGGTCTTCTCTCATCAACCAGCTTTCTGGGTCTTCAGCGCCTAGCTTGAAGGACTTGGAGGTCCCCAAAGTTTCATGAAACCCTATCTAAACACCATGCATAACCTCAACGGGTAACCGGTAAGAAAATCGGAAGTGTATAACATCATGCCTTGGTTCAGGGTGTTTTTTTTTTTTTTTTTTTAAGTAAAGAAAATATAATTTTGTTAATTCTACCTCTAATATAATTGATATAAGACGTTTGGCGTGCAGTAATTAAATGATCTATTTGTATAATAAATTTACATTATTTCAAAAGGCCACGACACCCGTACACTGACAGCTGCTAATACACTGCGCAACCCGAATCCCACCGGAATTAGAATTACGTTTTACGGCTCTATAAGTTGGCGTTTAATTTCCTCTTTCTCATCACTCACAAACATCTTCTAATCTGCACTTTGATTTCTTATTAACGAACAGAGTGTAATGGAGAACCTGTCTTCTTCAACAACCATTATGGCGGAGGATCACTCTGTTTCCACCCTTCCTCTCAGTTTATCTCTACACCCATCTCCGGGTGTTGATCTCTGTCCATCTGTTTGGTCTTTCAAACCCATAAAAGACGATCAAGAACTGCCGATTTCTGCCATACCCAATCTCCAAGATTTCACCTATACGCTCGTATCTCCATCAACACTTTCAAACCCATCCTTATCTGCCACAATATGTGAAGATTTCTTGCCCTACAAGAAACGAAAAAGACAGGAAGTTGATGAACCCAAACCCAAAAAGACAGAAGAATATTGTTCACATTCAACAATAACATCATCGGACGAGGGAGTGGCCAAGAAACAGAGGGTGGAAACCCCTCCAACAGAACTACGGCGGCCGGAAGGCGATGATGGGCACTGGATAAAGAAGCGGCTGAGTATAAGTGACGTCGTCAACAGTTCATCAAGGTTGTTGTTGGCTAAAGACGATGTGAAGAAATACGTTCTGCCATTGATGGATGAGGAGAGGTGCGCAGCTTGTCAAAGCAGGGAAGGATTGAGAGTCAAAATCTGGGATTTGGACACCTTTTCTGAGCATGAGCTTAGCCTGAAACAATGGAAGACTCGCAGCTTTCTGCTCACCAGCAACTGGTCTATGGAGTTTGTGAAGAGAAGGGATTTGCAGGAGGGTGACTGCATTGGGTTGCTGTGGGACACTCAACATCAAAGGTTCTTCTTCCAGAAGTTCAATACCCAGTCTTAGATGTTATTGTGCAAATGTGCTGTGATTAACTAACTGAAATTTTGGTAGGATTCTCTGTACTTTAGGATTCACTCTGTCGTACAATGTAGTATTCCACTATTGTTCCAACGCCTGAACTTCCATTTTAGAGAGTCATAATTACTTCGTTCAACCATAAATTTTTTGACATAATATTGATTTTATCATTTACAAATAAATATACTGTTTGTGTGTTTAATTGTAAATTTTAAAAGTTTAAGAGTTTAATGAACTTTTTAATAAAAGTTCATAGACTTTTATACCTGCATGGGTATAAAAATTTCTCCCAAACCCGCATCATTACATCAATTACTCATATCATGCAAATATTTTACTACCTCTTGTGACGGAGATATGGGTAACTTGTTGGGCACCGATAAAATTGTCATTCCTGAATTCATTTGCAATCATGGACTTTTATGATTTTCAAACCTTGATACATTCCGATCCGTAAAGAACCTATCTTTGATAAATATCTATAAGTGGAAACCAAAAAAAAAAAAAAAATTAAAAAAAAAATCAAAGAATAAAGATTTCACCCCCACCAAGCAATAGCCTCTGCATCTCTGATATCTACCTAGCTACCTATCAGAGCCTTGTAAACCAGCCTTTCTTTGCATCCAATTTGGTCGGATCTGTTTTGCCATGTTTCCATCATCTTTTGTAGCAAAATCCCATTGACAACCTCCATCTTGTGTTCTTTTTCCTGTCTGGATATCACAGTGCCATGAAGAAAGAACAATTGTTTCATGGCAGTGTAGTGTAAGTGTGTGTCTTACAACCTATGACTAAACCAAGACAAAACCCTATCTTTGTGCAGCAACCACTAAGCTTGGCTTGATCTCAGACCGCTGCTTGCTAGCTTGGTCCTGAGATCTATCACATATACAACCCGGAAAAGGATTGGCATAGAAGTTCTCCTCTAATCTTGGCGACTCTCCGATTTCTCTAAGGTAAGGAGCTCCAAGCCTGTTGGAATGTAAAGATTTGACCTCTGTGGAAAATTCTTCCCAAGTTATAGCACCCTTGTCCAAGAAATCTATCAGTGTTACAAAACTGGCTCTGAAAAAACAAAATACAGAGAGATTATTAGACTGATTGAGTGAATTGTAAGCACAAGAAGATGAGGAATGAGAGGCAACAAACCTGTCGGGGCTAATCGTCTTTCGAAAACCTTCAAACCTCCTATGCCCCTGCACTGCCTTAGCCATGTTTCCATCATATGTATAAACAAACAAATCACTTTCAAGTGCCATAATGTAATCCAAGGCGGCCAGACGGTTCTGGTACTGCTTATAAGCTCCCAATTCTTCTTCTGTTGCTAGCGTCGAGTGAGAGAAGACGTTCGGGTACTCCAAACGGAACGCATCCATGCTGCTATTACCATATATTTCCCCTGCAACAATGTAGATTCTTGTAGTGGAGGGGTACCCCATTGCCTTCAAAAAAAATGCAGCTTCCCTTGGTGTCATAGGGCAACCCCCAATCACTCTCTTTGCTTTGCTGTCTATCTCTTTCTCCTTCCAGTGCTTCACGTTATACCTCATAACCCGAAGTTCCTCGGCCTCTCCTGCCGTTAGATTGTGGCTACAGCCAGTGAATGCAAGCATGTCC